GAGGTTTTGTTATATTAAGATTGTTGTTGATCATTATATATAAATTCTTCAAGTTGCCCAAGTTGGACCGAAGACAGGCACCGGGGTTTTAACTGGGAAAACGTATATCATTTTTTCGACCTCCTAGAAAAGCTTGTGGACGAGCACAAATTTTCGAAATGATGCAGTGTATGAAATGCCGCACTTTGGTTTATACAAAATGTGCTTGTGTTAGTGCTAAAACTAAAATTTACTATTGTGTCAATTGCCGTTAAAAAAGCATGGTCCAATTTAGGAAACCGCGCAGTCCAATTTAGGAAACCGGTTTCTTAATTTGGACCAAAAACACAATTTTTTTAAATTGAAATTTCAGGGGTATAAATATAATTTTTACTTAAATCATAAATATCATTTTGTAGGTAAGCCATGTGAGTTACTTTTCCGCTACTTAATTTTTATTGAGAGTTTATATGTGGCTCTATAAATCAAAAAATATAAAAATGGTCCAAATATGGCTACTTTCCCCTATTGAGTTGCGATATATTTACCGAACAGAAATTTTTTTATTGGAATATAATAAAAATGATATTAAATAGAATAATCTTGTGTTTAAATTTATAAAAATTAATTTTTGCTAATTGCCTATGTGTTGAGTTGAGGTACAAAAACTGAACATAGGAGATTTTTATAGGAATTTGCAATACAATTCAAAAAAAGAAATAAAATAATTGTTTTCTCAGATTTATATCAAAATAAAACAAGTGCCCATGTATTGAGTTGCCATTCAAGTATCGAACATACTAAAATTTATATTGGAACTAGTTTTTGCCCGCGACTTTGTCTTGGTAGTGTTTAATAAAAATGTAATTCGTTTTTACTCTCTTGTTCTAGACATAGTATGTGTCAATTCTATCAATAAGATTTGCAATTTTATTTTAAACAAATTAATTATATAAATAATTGCTAATAATGCACTTCAGCGCGCCAACTTGGATTCAAATATTTAACTATAACTATGATTGAATCTCATTGCCAATTTTTATCCTGTAGAAAAGGGCTGCCTTTAGGGTTTTCCCGGCAATTATTCGATTTTTTCTCGCCGTAAAAACCATCCTTGGACTTTACCGAGCATTTAAAAAAAATAATTGGCCAAATTGGTCTAGGCGTTGTTAAGTTATGCGCTTACCAACAGATTTTGCGATTCATTTTTAAAATATAGATTTGCAATAAAAATGTCGAAAAATACAATAAAATAAAAAATAAATTATTGTTTTGTTGCGCTTACAAAATCAACTTTTCCATAATTACCAATGTGTTGACTTGCCGTATAAGTACCGAACATAGCAGATTTCTATTAGAATCCACAATAAAAGCACAAAAAAAAATACAAAATAAAAATAAAATCACCACACTATTACGATAAACATATAATTCTTCATTGTTAACTCCTTCTATTGTTAACAAATCACCTAAGCAATAATTAAACTAGTAATAACTCATAAAATTCATACGTAAAAGGAAGTCAGAATTAAACAAACACTTCCATAGCTAATCGAATAAAACATTTTCGACTTTCATCAGAGCATGAATCAATGAATCATTAACTTTGTGTATTTTTTTCCATCGCATATACACATCTCAACAAATTCGTTTGCACCGCGCACTGTAATTAATAGATGCTTGATTCGATTGCCTAAGGTTGGCCAGGATGAGATTGCTCAACAGTGCGTACGCACGTGTTTGTGCTTTTGTGCCTGTGTGTGTATATGTGTATGCGCTAGGAAATAAAACGATTTAAAAGCCATTTGTTTTATTGGCTCGTTTCTCATCGTGGTGTGCGCGCGCGCACGCCGTGGTGTGCGCTGGTGTGTTGCGCACGTCCGTACGTTTTAAGCGATTATCAATCATTCCGATTTACACCCAGGAGATAATAAATAAATTCATTTGTGTGCGTGCCGGCGTAATCACCGGTTTCGATAAATAAATATTTTTATTTCGACCTTTAATATACGTAAGTATTTATTGATTGACAATAACGATAAACCCGGATGAAATATGAAGCATCATCATTGTTGCCAATGTGATTTTTTCGCCCATATATAAAAATTAAATTAAATTTATTTCGAAATCGATTAGAAAACAAACACAATACGCCCACGCACTAATATCAATTGAAGTAATATTGAATCAATATTGTAATATGACTAAAACTAATTAACACCGTGAATGTGTAGGATGCAAATAATAAAACCGATTGGAATGGAAAATGGATGCCATTTAATTGGTACCATTTCGAATTGTGGATCGTTACTCAAACACGATGAATATTCCAATACGAAAAAGTGCCTGAGGTGGTTTTAGTCGTTTTCTACACGCCACAGCATCCCATTCTTGTTTTACATGTGCGCTGCGAGTTTAATTGTTATGGATCAGTAATTAAACAAATAAATTACTAAACGGTGCGCGCGTCGTCCGGGCGCGCGGTTATTAATGATCGGAGCACGGGACGACGGTTGCGCGCAACGTGGTGATTATGTAATTATCAGTTAGTTTTAATCTCTGGGTTAAGCAAACCTTTCAGAGCGCTCAACAAATTACTCACAGGAACACACCCCTTTTCGGCTCTCACTCAAGACTCTCTTAATGCCACGAAACAAAAAATACTTAAAAAAAAAAACAAAAACTTTCTTTCACAGTATTTCAACTTGCTTAAATCGAGTTTAATTACGAGTAATTTTATTTTTTGTGGTTAGAATTACAAACAAAGAAATTATAAGCAAGTTAATTATTAATTTTTTTTCCTGTGTTTCTTTATCTCAACGGGTTTCTGTTACTACTTACTGAGTGTTACTAATGCGAGTTGCTAATGGAAATTAAAATATTTCCGCTTCCGTTTTTGTGTGGCGACGGGAAGTTGTGCGTAATTATTGGTTACGTGCATAATTATCAAATACTCGCCTCAATTCATTCAAAACAAAGAAATATATTTTTGACTAATGTCTTAATGATCTCTGATAGCTTAATGTTGCAGCAAACAAAAAGAAGTGATACTTACGCCGGAGAGATTGAAGAGTCGTTTACGGCGCTTATGGGTCAATTAAGTGATAAAAATCGACTAAGTGCGAAAGGCATTAAAACTCGCCCTGCCGCGAGACCAGCGAGAAAATGATGAAATTAAAAAATAAAGAAGCGATTTATACGCTCGCTGCGCCTTTATCTGGCGCGCCGTGGTAATACATGATATTTTCCGCTTCTTGGGATTCTCGCGCGCGCGGCCGCTTGATGAGCGCATCAAGAGGCGCGCCGTGTGGCTCTAATTACAATGAGCCGTCAACGCGCGCGCATCGCCTCGTCATCATCGCCGCGCGCTGGATGGAAACCGGCTAATAGCGTAATGGTGGCGCATCAAGCGGCGAACAACGCACAGCACACTTACCAACACATTGATGATCGTGAAAGCGAGCAGCGAACACGCCTTTGTTCACGATTATGATGTGATAACTACTTCCTACAATCACGAATCAAGTCATCAAAACTTAATTTTCACATCGTTGCACGCTAAATGTCATTTTCGGCGCAAACCATCTCGAAATATTCAATCAGCGCCCTCTACTGTTTACCCCGGTAAGCTTACAACTACCACAGTCTGCTACGGTACGTTTTGAGGTTAGGATACGTATTCACAAGTGTAGTGTAGTTGTGTAGAGTGTACCTACGTTTGCAGTCTTCCACTTCGTTGCCTCCGTTTTGTAACAACACACAAAGCCAGCAGAAACAATTAGCAGCGCGAAATTTATTACACCCGTGCCGCGTATTGATGGATTGCGGCCGGCGTTTATTATCCTGGTAATTGCGCATTAATCCGCTCGCTTATCTCCACTACTTTCAAAACAACCGTAAGATGTCACTACGTATGATAATAATTAGGTTTTGAATTGATATGTACCTACATAAACCAATAGTAATTTCTGATGTTTGCAGGCTGGTTCCCTCGAAGATTGATTCTAAAAATTCGGACGCATTCTTGTTGGGCCGCTCGACGGTAATAGCGACGAGCCAACAATTACCTCATGACGTCAGTCATTAATTATAACTTAACCTGTGGTTAGGACTTAACAAGCTGTCACTGGGAGATTGTTAGCGGGTTATTTATGAGAATTTAAACGCGCTCTCCTTCGCCGGCGCACACCGACACGTACAAACAACATAAATACACACTCTGCAAAGCTCGGACTCTTCCATGAGACGCTTCGAGACATGCGCTTGCTGGTAAACAAGAGAATGCCAAGCGCAAGGGGAAAATAACAAAGAGAAAAGAGTAGAGAATCACATGCACATTCTATGTGTTGGAGAAAGATGGTAATATATTGGGTTGTGAGTGAGTAAGCGAGTCAACATTTACACATTGGTAGGGGGAACCCACAAATCTGGGATGGTGCCAAAGCCCCACTTTCGTGTCTCACGCGGCGGCGCGCACACGACCCATCGAAGAGAAATAATTATTCTTTAATCGTTTATGTGTTTATACACTCTTTATGCAGTGTTACCCGGCGTTGCCTCTATCGTAATTAATTTCTGTCGAGAGCACTCTGCCCAGTATGCAGTATATTTTAAAATCTCACTTAACGAGAACTTATTATTGCGTTTTTTAAGGCTCAGAATTGCCTGCGCGATATTTTCTGCAATTATACGAACTTACACTGGCTTTATAAGTCATAACGATGGTGATCAGGAGGGTCATTAAATTAAATTCACATAAAATGGCGAATTTAATGAGCGCACGCTGTGCAACCCGCTGTGCATGCAATAAAACGAACAAAAATTACAGAAAACTGCAGAAATTTTTATAGGTTATTAGTAAATTTCATTCAACCCCAATAATAAATGTCTTAAATTAATTATTAGACAAATTTGCTATTTTTTTAATTAAAAAACAGACAAAATCAATAAAAATGAGTTTTTAGGTTATAAAATGAGGTTATGTAGTAGATTTAACCTGAAAATTAAGAAATGAAACCAATTTTGTTCATATTTTCATTTTTTAATATTTAATTTACAATTTTATCGCATCTTTAAGTACAGTAGTAACGCCACTCAATGGCTACTCATCTCCGCAACATCCTCATCATCTAGAAATAATAGTATTTTTTACATTCGTAGACAAACAGAAATGTACAATCATTAAACATAGTAGGATGCACCGCGGATGCAATCGACATTGAAATTTTTTCCTGCTTCGAATCAAATGAAAAATTTCACGTATGCTCAACTAACTAGTTTATTATAATACACGCACGATATATTATCAGCAATATCGTAGATTATCTGTTAGTTATAATAAATTGTTTATCCGATAATTTAATTAAGAATTGGTAATAACACTTTGTACATTTATCAAGGTTCAATCCGATTTACTGAACGCGTTTGTTAGTACTGCTCTTCGTTTGTAGGTGGCTAATAAGATCCATCTTTGTACAAAAGGAACAAATAAATTATACTTCAAATTCACAATAGATAATATCTAATAAACTTAGATCATTAAAAAAAACACAAAATAATAAATAATTTAGTTAGTTTTCTTCTATTTGTATATAGTCACATTATTTACACACCATGCGCGACGACCATTTCTATTAGGGCGGGGCTTCCGTTTCCGTTTTGAGAGAAAATTCGCGCGAAACAAATCGAAATTATCATTTTGGCACGAAGTTGTTTATTTTTATGTTTTTTGGCAATATTGATGAAACTCACCCGCGACCCGAATTTTATTTCGTTTTTTAGGTTTTTATAATATTTATATACAAAGTAAATTAATATTGCAACTAATTTGTGTTCGTTTGACATTTTAAAAATTGGGCGAGTGTTTTTGTTGTCACTATATCGTTTTGTTTGTTTGTTAATTTTTGGTTTTGGTTTGTCTAGGTTGTCTCTTCGTTGATTATTAATTACGATTCACTTTCGACGTCACTGACGCACTCGTCGTCCATGTCCATGTCGATGTACTCGCCGTACTGATCGTCACCCGTCTCCTCCTTCCATTTGTTCACGTGGTGCGCGTTTGACACCGACGACGATTTGCCACCGGAGCTCGTCTTCGCCTCTTCCTCCTGCTGCATTCGTTTGTGTTTCGTCCGCCGGTTTTGGAACCACACTTTAACCTGCAACCCAACAAGCAAAACATTTGAGGTTAGTAAGATTACAGTTTTCTGTAAAATTTTAAGGCTAGGTAGGTAGATGGCGTCGCACCCGAGGTTTAGCAGTAATCAACCGTAGTAGGTATTATTTTAGGACACTTTCGGATAGAAAGGGGGCGACGCGAGCTGTTGATATTGATAATTGGATTCGTGTAGCATCGAGTGTTCGGTGCTTATTTAAATGAAATCCAAACATAGGACTTGCGCTCGTTTTTAATCCGGCGCGCACGAAACGAATAATCAATTAATGCTCTCGCGCACGTTTTCGTTTAATTTGAAAAAAGAAACGAAAAAACAATGCGCGCAAATCGAATCCCATCTATATATAAATCAAAGTTGGAAAAAAATTCAATTTGAAAATCCCATTTCGAATGCAAATATTTTTATAATTGACGACGATTTATTTTTTTATTAATTCAGCGCGGAATTTTTGCGCCAATTTGAATATAAAGTGCATCACATATGCGCCCATACCCACATGCAGTATATTTATTTATTGATTTATTAGTTATTGACACGAGAATTATTTATGGTTGGTGAGCAGCGCGGCGCGCGCGCATGCACTTGAATTGAGTTACCAAAATTGGTAAACAACGAGCGGCGATACTCTCGTAAATAAATACGCGTCGTGTTTAACTAATTTATTAAACGTTCGTACGTAAACGATGAAATTAATGCGCGCTGAAAATTACAAATTGCTCATTGTTACACTTAATTATTATTAATATCTTATTTTCTGCGCTCAAACATTTTATTTCTGTTGTTTCGCGCATTTCACAAGCGATTAAACACTTGAAACTAGCTTGTTACGTGAATTGTGACTCCCCACTTCCGTTGCGCGCATGCAGCCACTCCTAGAATACAACATAACCTCAAAAATCATGCGAAAACGTTGAAATTGCCAACTTCCGACCTTTTCACGCATTTTAAATATATTCTAGCATCCCTGCAGTGCAGATCAGCCTGGATTATGAGTTTATGAGATCATAAGATCAATCATTCTAATTCGCACCCTTTCAAAGGATGATAGGGGAGCGTTAGGGATGAAAACGAATCTTATTGGTCGAGATGAAATTTATACTCTGCAACCCTCCCGATGGAAACGATTATGAACCGTAACGCTTTTCGTTTGTTCAACAAAAATATCAATTTAATTCAGGGTGGTTCAAGAGACAAGGTAGGACATGTTCCAGCAGATGTTTTACTTTCATTCTGAACCCTTTTTTCTTTTGTCATTCAAAAAAAAAATTAACGTTATAATGGTGTGATATTACAAGCATTATAATAAATTAAAGTGTTTAGAAACATTTTTTGCATAAATATTAACTGAAAATTATATTTTAATTTAAAAAAACAAAAAAAGTGACCGGAAACGTTCTAATTATTTGAGTTTATTTTCTTGTGGTGTGTTTCGTCTTCGACGATTAATTAACGACGGGAAGCCGCCTTTCTGGTGCGCTTGCGCTTGCAGTCATGTATATTCATAGCTCATTTGTTCGCACACAAAAATAATTGAACCGTTGCCTGCGCGCGCAGTTAAACTAATTCATCTAATTCATTGCAAATAGATCATTAGCTCTGCGATAATTAATATTATTAGTTGGTAATTATAATTTTATAGATTTGCTATATGTAAGTGACTAATTGAGGTTATGGAAAAACGTTTAGGTGGATAATTAGTGCGGGTAATCAGTACGGTGTACTTACTTGTGTTTCGGTGAGAGACAATGATTGCGCGAGTTGTTTCCTCTCGGCGCCCACGACATAGTGATTCTTCTCGAAGGCATGCTCCAGCTTGAGTAATTGCGATGGACTGAACGCCGTTCTTATTCTCTTTGGTTTTCGGAACGGCTGCAGAAGAAAGCCGGGAATATCGGGACCTGAAATGCAAGAATTACACAAATTATGTTCTGTTATATACGTAGGTTAACTGTAAAGTGTATAAAAAGTTGCCTAGCGTTGATTTTTATGTATAATATAAAAATGAATTGCAAAATCTGTTGGTAAGCGCATAACTCAACAACGCCTAAACCAATTTGGTCAATTCTTTTTTTTAAATGTTTGTTAAAGTCTAAGGATGGTTTTTACGGCGAGAAAAATTGGAATAATTGTCGAGAAAACCCAAAAGACAGCCTTTTTCTATAGGATAAGAGTTGGCATTGAGATTCAATCATAGTTATAGTTAAATAGTTGAAACCGAGATGGCGCGCAGAAGTGCATTATAAGCAATTCTTTATATACCTAATTAATTTCTTTAAAATAAAATAGCGAATCTTATTGATACAATTGACACATTCTATGTCTATAACAAGAGAGTAAAAACGAATTACATTTTTATTAAACACTACCGACCAAGATGCAGGCAAAAGTTGGTTATAACAAAATTCATGTGATTTGGTGATTTTGTGACTTTGTGACATGAATTGTTTGCGTTTGCAGTCGTTGGTTCTTTTTTATTTTATTTCGTGTTTCACGCGCCGCCGGACACGCAACAATGGCGCCCTTCGCGCCGTCGGGGCGTGAAACTAGATTAGGGGCATTGTTAGCACCCCATTATTAAATTAAACCATTCACGAGTCAATCATCGGGGCTAAACCACTTGATACGTAACGATCAAAAGTTAAAAAGCCCCTCTCCGTACAAAAAACACGCTTTTGTTCGCATAAAAAGCAAAAAATCGTGAATACACGTTTTATTAACTGCAATTGTTGCAATTGGTGACATATACTGACACATCCGAACGATTTTTGATACTTTGCTAAAGAGATTTTATTATTTAGTATATTATTGTAGGTTATGTGTAACTGTCAGATGTCTTAACCTTAAATTATAACACGGCAGTTATTTTAAAGAGATAAATGGGTGTAATGTTTGTCTAATGGTTGATTTCGGGGCGTAGACGGGTAGAATATATCGAAATCCATTAGACGTGCATAATATACCGCTAATTACGTTGACAACTCGACTTATCGGCTCTTGGCACGGAAAAATTACCGCGGCACGAACGGCGGCCATTATTCTCCGCCGCCGAAAAACTCGCGCCTTATCACGCGTAATTTATTGCTCACCAAGTCGGATACGGCATGCAAATTACGCTATAGAGCAGAGCCAAAGCGGTTTACATTCAAATTTAAACAGTAACCGAAACTAATTTTATCATGCAAAGCATAGAAATATATTTTAATATATTTATTCTTAACGATTTACACTAATATCTGAAACTTTTTGCATTTTGCATTTATGTATGAAATTTATTTATGTATTTATAAATAAGTGAATATTTTTATGTGACACATGTGGAACGTTCTTGTGAGTGTATTGCGAGCGCGTGCAATTAGCAATAATTTAATTTGAATAAACCAGATGGTGGGCGCACATACTCGTAAAAATACAACGTCGTTAAGTTAATGAGAATGCAACTAATATAGTAATCACATAATTATACGTAATAAAAAATTACGAGGACGTTAAAATTTATTTAGGTACAAAAACGCGAGCGTGCAGCGCGTATCACGCTAACCAGCATTTTGTCTACGACAAAAAATAAAGAAAAAAGGAAGGAAAATTTAGTTTTTTGTGCATTTTCTTATTTCATGGGTAATTGATATTAGTTTTATACAAAGTATTCCATATATTTTATTGTATTAATTTAGATTTATACAAAAATATTAAAAAAAAGTGTAAATCACGAAATTAACCTCATTTTTATTTCATTTTGGTGCAAATTGCAATTGTTTGGTTTTTTGTTTATTACAAGAAAACTATTATTCAGTAAATATTGATTTTTAATACGTAAAATCTCATTGAAATTATCTTTCTATTGACGTAAAGATTAATTTATTATATTTTTTTAGAACCGAGTTATAACTCGCATAATGCGCTATACTTTGATAAATATTTGCACACAATTTCTATGTTTTTATATCGTTTTTATTACTTTTTCTCTAAATTAAGCATAAATACCAACGCCACGAAATTAATTTAATAACTAATTTTTATAGTTCAAGTTTATATTTATCTGTTGAAATGAAAATCATGTTTCTATCTATCTTTGTTCCCAAGTTACAATGAATTAATCTGTTTTTTTTGTTAAAATTTGCAATTTTAAACGATTTCGTCTTTTCTTTACTACTAAAAAAATTTCTACATATACAACATTTATTTACTGGACTTAAATGCATGGTAAATTTCCTTTCCTATAATATTATAGTTAATATTCAATGATTGTATATAATTTAACAAATATCAATTCAAAACTAAACTATTCCACCATATAACTTGTCTAAATCAAATAAAAACCACACCAATTTACGCTAAACACATTAAATTAAATAAATTGATACTTTTTGATGTTAGTTTGAACTTTTTACAGTTTTTTCAACGCGAACCGTTTGCGTTTTAATTAGTTTTCGTCGTTCGACTAGCGATGATTGAAAGTCCTTGATCGTTGTTGGCTGTTATACCATTGCCCGCTGGCAATTACTTAAATGCGTGATAATTTTAAAGTGCACCGCACCAGCAATATTGTTTTCGTACTACGCAGGCAACAAAAAAAAAACACAACTTAAAGTAAAGCATCTTTGCGTTGGAATTTGCATAAAATACCAACCGCGCCGACGGCATTTCGACCTTTTTTCGCGATCGATTTCACATCGACGCGCAAAAAATGCGAAAATCGCCCGAAAACAAAACGCGCAACAAAAGAGTAGCGCGATTCTTGTAAAGACCGCAAACATAAAACAAAAAGGCGTACAAATTGTTTCGCGTGTTCGCGAGTTATGTACTCCGCTCACTCTTTCATTGAAATGATTATCCCAATTCACTTCAATTGATTTACAAAACATGTAAATCGTGTCCAACGCATTTTTACTGCTTTTCCTCTTATAAACTGATATTACGTGTTAATTAATAAGCGATTAGTAATCGAAACGCGCCGCAACCGCAATAACCTTCAACCATTCTAATTGGTAATTAATTGCTGCATTAACACAGCCTCCGAGCGATATATTTATTATTAACACACAAGTTTTGTGTAAAATATAGTTTAATCAATTATAGCGACATGGAAATAATTCAGGAAACAATAAGCATACTTCAAGCAGGGTTTCTAGGGTGCTGGGTGTTTGGTAGACACACCAGTGTGGTGATTTCACAAGTCAATTAGGCCGGTTCGCGTGCCCGCATGCCATTAACCTATCCACTCGCAGTGCGCATGCGCAACGCATGCGTTTAGGTTAGAATGTGGATATCTCGGGTTTTCTGTTTGTATTCAATTCCTATGGGCGCGTGCAGACGTGAAAAAGGTGTAGGCATAAACTATTTTAAGTGCGCGCACAGCGTGTAAATGCGCGCAACGTATTCATTACGTGAGAAACGCAGGAAACATTACGATACCATATTTATACACAAGCGCTTATAACTTTATTGTATAATAATAACTCTTGCGCACAACAAACAGCCGCGTTTGATTAAGATGCACGCGATGATCATCTTGTTACGTATTAGCCACGATCGTGTATAAAGACAACTTTATACACTGCTGCTACACATTGTAGTTGATATTGTGTAGAAAATTCATACATATAATTAAATGTAATTTACATTAATTACGTGTTATTCATTACTCATTATGCTTGTTTATTCCCGCTAATATTGAACTAAAATAAAGCGCTAAATATGCAAATTAGTTAATTGTGCCGGCGATAGTTAATAACACTTTGGTGTTATTGAGAGGGACGCGGCGCGTAATGTCTCCAAATGGTCAGCTACGTGATTTTAATTAAGGCTAATTTAAAACTTAATTATTTAATTACAATATGACTTTGTTTCAGTTTAAATAAATAAAATAATTAAATCAACTCGTTGTGAATTGATCAATTATTCAAATGAAATAACCAATTAGTGAGTAAATTGTAAATTCAAGAGAAACAAGTTTTATGTTTTATTTTACGGATTTTGATCGAAAAAAATGCAAGAAACAAAGGCGTTAATTGCTCCAATTTGTACGAATTTCATGGTTAGGAAACCTAATTCCGTTGCAAGACGTTAGATGGCTCTGGCACTTGAAACATTAGTTGTAGTTTGTGATTGTTATCTATGCAACCATCAACGCCAACTTTTTACCAACTAATTTGCACATTTCTAAGCTAATGAAAGCTCGCATCTGTATATTCTTGTAATTCTTGTTTTGTTTTTATTCGCGCTGCAAGTTTATGTAGTCGTTGTGTAGTTATTTGCTTACACGGGTTGTTTCTTCGAGAATTTACTCACGATGCGCGGCGTGTAGAAATTAAATGTAATTGCACCTGCTCTGTCGCCTAATTAACACATTAATGCATTGCGCCGGCATTATTTACGATTGCCAAACAATTTATTTTATACATCTACATATAAACAAGGCGAGCGTAGTAGTAAATAATCAAATTAAAAACGATGAAAAATTAATTTAATAAGAATATTCTCGCTGTGCGTTTTGTGCGACGATAAATCCATCGCAAACACGCCCGAACGACGTAGAAATTTAATTAACTACCGGGATTAGAGAAGTCGAGTAAATTTACGACACATATCATTGGTTTAATTGCACTTTTATACAAAAATTGTGAAAATTAAGAAATTGCTACCTGACGAGAGTTTTGAACGTGAGGTGTAGACAAACAGTATTTATCTTTGTTAATTACGCTACAAAACGGACGTGCATTGCGCGAAACAAAGAAAATATTCATCCAGTTCCATATGTTTGTGTTTAATGCGGCGAGAAGCTACTAATTGTTAAATAAATACTCATGAAAACAAACAAAAAAACAAAAAATCATGCAATCATAATATTTTCAAGTTATAATGACTCATTTTGTTTGTGTTAGGTTACAAGTCAACAGTAGTAGTGGTAACATGTATGTTTGGTTGCATATATTGAGTGGATTGCAAAACGATTTTGAAAGGTTGGCAATACTGACAAGCGCATTTCGTGCTGGTTAATAATTGAGGTTAATTAGGTAATTTTTCGGACGCACGCACCTCATAATAACGGCGTGCTTAAATTAAACTGCATTTAATATCGACGAGTGCTGTCCAATGTAATTACCTACCACATACACAAAATAAAACAAAACGTATTTTTACACAACACAACAACAGATTTTTAACATGTCGTAGAAATACTTGCATACTTGGTTAGGTTTCTGTCGGGCTTCATCGCCGCAGGGTAAACGCGTTAATTTTATTGCCTTTTATTGCGTTCGCTTGTTGTTTTTTTTTGTGTCCCAAATCGGCGGCGAATAAAACCGTATGTAGGCACTGCATCAATTATATTATTAAAGTATTAATTTCAAAGAGTTAAGTTATAATCACACGCTGCTGGCTTTGAGGGATATAATTACGCCGGCTGTGCTAATGTGTAAATAATTACTGCGTTTTCACGATCCGTATCAGGGTTTGTACCCGTCTCAAAACACAACAACATACAAACAACTTTTTGAATGTTTTTTTTTTCTTTCTTTTTTAATATTTAAGAACACTGTGTATATTTTATACTGTGAATTATCATAATTCGGGTTTTGGGCTGATTCAGGCCTCGATTAAAACGCACAACAACAATCAGCAAACAAGAAACAAATGACGATCGTGTGACTTGAATCGGATTGAATTTACACATTATTACGGGCTTAGATTGCTTTCTCGCATGATGGAAATTTTGGTAGCACAGCCAGACCGCTAGGTAGCTAAATTGCTTCATTAAGCATTATCAACGCCGTACTCCACACATTAACGCATAAATTTCGAGTGGGTGTGCATGGTGTGTGTGTGATAAGTGATAAAACCTACCTCCTGGAAACCGATGTGGAAATATCCGGCCGTGTCTCGACAATAGCCACGGATACAACGGATAACTATCCCTAGGTTGACTGTGCTGTGTGAGCGGTGAGGGTTGTGGAAATCCATGCTGACCACCACCGAAAGCCGCCGCCAATGCAGCTCCCTGAAGGTGTGCGGCAAGCGCGAATTGATGCTGGCCGGCGGCTGCGGCTGCCGCCGGATGATTATGCATCATCTCCGGTTGTAGAAATCCATTTTTCCAATCAACGCTGGATCATACGTAGGTGCGGGTCTTACAAGCGTCGGATGCCCGGCGGGTATTCCCGGCACCATTATCGGTGGTTTGGGTGATGCGTCGGGTGACCGCTGAGGTGAATAGTGTTTGGGTGAACAGTTCAAACGATTGTCCGTGTCACTGGACGGTGATAACGGCGCGGATGACTCCGAGAAGTGCATGGGAGATGTCTGTGGGCTGGGTTGTTGTGTGCCGCCGACGATCGAGTCGATGGAGAAGCCGATCTTGGGCTTCGACGGCACGGCGACGATCGGCGTCGGAGCGAGGGGCATCATGGTTAGACTCATCGGAATGATGGGTTCGAAATTACACTCCAAATGCTTCGCACACAATTTGCATTCTTGACGCGCACTCACGAACAAAACTTAATCCAATTTCAGTCCACTTAAGTCACTTGGAGGTAGGTTATCTACCCATCCGTCGGATAACACTTTTATTTTATTTTATTAGAATCAACTGTATTTATTCCGATTCACACTGATTCGAGGGTGATATGAATGGTAAATTGATGTTCGACGTGTGGAGGGTTATTAAAAGTGTTAAACTGTTGTCGGACGCTGCATAAGCGGCATGCTACCGTCACCAACACTTGCGAGATAATAACCAGTGGAACCACTCGACCGACCACTCGAACCCGGGTGGGAGACTCGAGATTAAAAAGCGGTGCACCTCCAAAGCATAGTGGGGAATCACTGGATTCCTATTGGCGTCGAGCGTCGAAGCAACTCCTCATTGTAACTCCATTGCTATTGGATGATATTACAGATGGGTTACACCCAGATCCAACCTACTAGCGTAATCTAGACTGTTGACTAGAATTACGACAAACCGAAAAAAATCAACTCAACATTCTCACTTTGTCTGCAATGTAGTTGGAGTGAAATATACGCAGAGTTTTAAGAGTTAAGTACGTTAATAAGAGCTTGAGACCGAGTTGAGATGAAAGGTCTTCGGATATGATGTTTGTGGGCTGTGGGGACATTTTTATTTTATTCTTTTGTTTCGGAGGCGGGCGCGTGAACGAAATGGTGAGGTGCGCGCGCATTAGTTGAAGGCGCGGCTGGTTTTCCGAATGAGACGTCAAAAGTGTGCAATTTCGCCGCGCCTTGCCGCCCCGGTTAATCCGAGTCAGTCGCGTCCGGCGTGTTGTTCGTGTGTAAAAAGCTTAATTGAAATTTATTATGGATTATGGAAAACTCATTTCCGTACGTTGCAACTATTTCAATCGCGTGAACTTCTAATGTATGCAACCCAACACACTATTATTGGGTAGGTAGGTAAATATAAGTGGGTGACACTTAAAAAATGTCATAAAAAAACACAATCGATTGTAATATGAACATTAAACCAGCTATTAAAACTGATTGCATCATTTAACTCGTCGTTTATTGATTCTTCTTATCGCGCAATAACAATTTGCGCTCGTAGGCACGAAACAACGCATTGCGCGAATTATTTATGCCAATTGCGAGCAAAACTCGCAATTATTTTCATGATGAAAATGCGCCAGCCGCGTTTGACATTACGACGCACACAATTAATTACGCGGATTAATAAATCACGCTCAGTAATAATAGGTAGGAGACACAATTTACACCCGAAAATAAAAAATAATTTTTTTATGAGAAATCATTTTAAAATGTTAAAATTTTCAACTTATTCCTAGTAAAGTTGATTCCATTATAAGCTTACAACGTATTATGCAAATTTACAAGAGATTTGCAATTATTCCTAACCGTTTTGACCACATACTAATCCATCAATCGGTTTCAACCACACCGCACTGCAATTCTTATGAATCTTTAGTTGTAGTATGACTTAAGACGGTCTTACAAGGTTTTTGTTAACTTACACGCCGATATCTCGTTACGTAACTGCTTTTAGAAGATGACAACCCTTTCGGTGAATATTCTCAACCGTTTTGCTACTTATTACCTCTTTGTGACATGCCGACAGAGGAGGATAAAGGCAATTAACTTTACCTTCGACTCTTCGGGTCTTAAATGATTACAAATGTAATCATTTTTGTAAATTCACGACACGCCTACGATACGCGTGTTGGATAAATCTGCCTAAAATGAATGATTAGAATTTAGCAAAGATAATCGGATAGATTTTACATGCATATTTATGAGATAACTAGTTTTTGCCCTAGACATAGTAGTGTCAATTCTATCAATAAGATTCACAATTTTATTTTAAAGAAATTAGGTAATTAAATAAAGAATTGCTAATAATGCACTTCAGCGCGCCATCTCGGATTCAACTATTTAACTATAACTATGATTGAATCTCAATGCCAACTTTTATCTTATAGAAAAAGGCAGTCTTTAGAGTTTTCCTGATAATTATTCGAATATTTCTCGCTGTAAAAACCATCCTTGGACTTTAACAAACATTTTAAAATAAAAATTAGCCAAATTAGTCAAGGCGTTGTTGAGTTATGCGCTTACCAACACATTTCTTCATTTTTATATTACAGATTGAGTTTTCAGAAGTTAAACGTATGTTTGGTTGCATATTTCACCAAAAAAAATGACTTGTACTTGTTTGAATGTGAACTGAACCTGCACAAGTTGAAATAAGTTCTCTGTTCGCCTCCAATTTCAATTATTAGCCAGGAATGTATCCGTGTACCTCGGAGCGCGCAACTCGAACAAATTGTAATCGTAATTGCACGTGTATCGCTTGGTTAAATTCGTTTAGAATCTAAATAAACGTTATAATTATCAAGTGCTTTGAACTTTAAACGCACTCGACTGCGGGCCGAGCGTGTGTGTAACAAGATAACTCACGAAGAGCGAAACGTTTAAGCCTAATTAGAGTTGTACGGACGTTGTCGAAACGTGCGTTACAGGCATTCTCGCGTGCTGTGCCCTTAAAAACCGGAGAACCGGAGGTGTACGGTTTGTATCTATCCGAAGGAGAAACAAAAGAAGACGAAAAAAAAAGCAACAGACTCAACAACACGCCATGGCACCGGAGACCGGAGGAGACCGTGGGGCGCTCCTTCGTTTCAACTGTGACAGGGTATAATTTGAGCGTATTTTTCCCCGGCCGGGAATCCACCTTCGGCTATTTAAACGTTTTAACGCTGGCATTTGTTTAAATTAAACGGCTAATTATTTATTGATTGCTTGTCCCGACACGCCTATGCAGATAAATAAACACCAACACGTTATCTTCTCGCGCGCCACGCCGAGTTCACGGAATAAAATATGTTTGGCAGCCGTCTGGCGTGCGCGCGCGCACATGTTGCATATGAATACACATCGTAGATTTTTGTCGCTGCAACCTTTCTTGCTGTTTTTTATGTATTGCGGGTTGCGGACTGTTTTAAACGCAGCGGCGCGCATAAATATCTTGCTTGTGCGGTGGAAATTTATTGTTCGCACAACGGGCGCTAGGCGCAAATTAAATATGCAACATTGAGAGCTGCAATTAGTACTCGTTTTAAACCTGCATAATAAACACACTGGTAATTTATATCATATTTATTCAGGAGGTAATATTTTGAATATTTGGTTGCCTAACATACAATAAAAAATCAAAACAAAAAAAAATTAAAAATTTGTTTGTCAAAATATTGCTATCTTTATTATATTTTGTCATCGTTCCGAGAATCTAAAACTTGTGAGTAATTAATAGCGGTTTGATTTCTCCACCCATAAATCCTTCACGTTGCGCTTCTTTTTTCTTCTCCCTGAGAGAATTCCACACATATATACGAAATACAAGTATTGTACCCGCGCGTCGTGGCTAATGATAATGATATAATAGAAATGTTGAAGTGTCACCCTCGGTTGCTGTTTGGACCGCTTGCGGTCTCATCGATGTTCCGTTATTGAGACCCAAAGCGACACAAAGTCTCCTTCTTCGAATTCGGCCCACAAAAGCAAAAAAAAATGAAGATCTTTAGCACCCCATATTAAAACTATACCTGCTGGTGAAGACTACGAAGCGCGATGATGTCACACAACGAGAATAAATTTCGACCGCAACAGCATGCTACGCTTAATTGTATTGTAGATAAGATTAGATAACGGTTTGCTGCTATGCCAGACACAAAGGCAACAGAGTGAAACCCATCCACACACGGGGGTGCGTATTCCAAATAAATATTAGATAATATCTCGTCTGAAAGATAAAAAATCAAAAATTTTACTAATAATTCATTTTAATAAGGGTTATGGTTGATATTTTAATAGTTTTGACAAGTTGTCATAACCTCAAATGATAAATTATTGTATTGATTGCATATTTGGTTGCCTATCATAAAAAAATCAGTTAGGTATATTCATAATTTCAGGAATCTCTTATGATTAATTACCAAACAATTCATAAATATTTCTACAGTGTGTAATATTGTATATGAGGAATGAAGTTTTATTAGCTTATGACATAATTAATTAATAAATATTTAATACCTAATATCTCGTCTCAAAGATAAAATATCAAATTTTTACTAATAATTCATTTTAATAAGGGTTATGTTTGATATTTTAATAGTTTTGACAAATTGTCATAACCTCAAGTGATAAATTCTTGCATTGATTGCATATTTGGTTGCCTATCATAAAAAAACAGTTTTAATCATAATTACAAGAATCTCTTATGATTAATTACCAAACAATTCATAAATGTGCCTACAATGTGTGAAATTTAATATGAGAACTGAAGTTTTATTAGGTTATGACTTAATTTCATGTTTCCACAAAGTATGAGCATGTATTAATGCCAAAAAGTAAAACAAAGTAAAAGATCATGCGCTATTTTAAAAGAGCGCATTATAATCGACGAAAATTGCTATAATTTCCTAGGACTTTTTAAGCCGTAATGGACATTTAATATCCACCTGCCTCGGGAGTTTTAACCATGTTTACCTGATGTTTGATAATTGATGTTTAGTATTTCCAAGATTGATCTGAAATAAATTCCATCAACTTACACGTAACATTTAATTCGTGCTTAGCATTTAAACTGGCGTATCAAATGTTTACGTTTAATAAGCATATGAATCAAATAAAAACACCTGAATACAAAAAGGTGTGAGAACCATATTCGGGCCGGCTGGATAATTGGCATATTGCTTCGCTTTTTAACGTCGCATCGTGTAGGAGTGACAGTGAAATGACTACTAAATAACAATTCATTGTGCGTTTATCTACAAAACATCGGCATCGGTTGATCTCCTTCCAGGTAGTCTCCATACCTCGGAAAAGAAACAGATGAAGCAGAAAGAGATGGAAATCTCTTAGGTAAACGTTTTCGAGAAGTCAACAACACAACAAAGGCACTATTTAACATTTAACTAAACAGAGGAGTGTATTGAATTGGTCATAGTGAAAAAAATTAAAGAAAATCATCCGAAGAATAGATGACGGACTGAATGCCATGCAGAGAAAAGAAGAGAAGACATTATCGATTTTTGTCGTGCGCCCGGAGGCTGCTTCTGAGTGACTTGTGAGTAGGTTTGAATAGTTTCAAGATGGCTTGACTCTGCGCACACACATTTAATACGCGTAACAAAACGTTTGGTCACTCAATTAGCTCGCTTCGAGTTCACCTGCTGCGCTACCTGACAATCGCCAAT